GGAAGGCAACCCAGGAGTTAGACGAAAAAAAAATTGCTTGCCAAAGCTGTTTCAGGAAAAGGCTTCCAGGATTCTAGAAGTTTCTTACAATTTTCAGTTTTTGGTATTTAAGGTGCACGAATACGAAACCAAATAGATGTTTGGTGTTTGCATATTTTAATATTAATCAGCCAAGATTCCTCCTAACTTTCTCTTGAAGTTTGTTTTTTTCCTCGGAAGTTTCCTCCGCCCGAGCAGGAGAAAATAACTAATGAATACCTAATTCTGATCTGATAACAAAATTTGGTATTGACCAGCATGACATAAGAGGTAAAATACCAAAGAATAATACCAAAAAGGTGCATGGAAAATACTTTGTTAATACCAAAAATTGATATTTGGATACCAAAAGAATACCTGAGTGCAGGCACGTAGCCATGGGGGGGGGGCTATGGGGCTGAAGCCCCCCCCCCCCCAAATTATTATAATCATGTGAAAAAAAAATCTAACCCAAGACAATAGATATCTGTTACCTGTACTGTACAGGTAATAGATATCCATTACCTGGGTAAGGTTTTTTTATTTTTCATATTATATTAAAATAATTTATGGACGAGGCTCAGGCCTATAGCCCCCTCTACAATGAGACTCGGGCTGTACCTATATAGTGTACATGAACAATTTATGTTTGCAGCGATTCTGTTAAAGATCATGGGACCATCGAGTTTTTATGAAAGATCAGCCTCGTTTCACTTCCGTAGGAACTAGGGTGTAGACCCAATTTGTAGCCTTCTAAACACAATCCGCACTGTACCCCTCTTTTTCAAGCAGGATTTCATACAAAATAGAATGTTTCTACAACAAATGACTTCTTAATTTATTTACCTTTCCATATGTACCATTGGATTTAATAAAGAGTCACACATTGTTTCTATTTAGATTTTAACTCTTTAATTGTTCAAAATTCAAAATAAATTACTTTTCGTTTTAACCCAGGTGCTCAAGCCACCTAGTAACTTATCTGCTGTAATTTTTATGATATAAATCTAAGTGATTTTACACTGTTCCTGCCTTAGAAATTCAGTATTTAAACAGGTCTTCTAAACCTGCATGTCAGTATAACAATTCACATCAAAACTAAAAACTAAAACTATATCTTATCTATGTATAAAGCTAATTAATCGTTGCAATTGAAGATTGCAACGATTTTTCCCTAAAATGATTAATTATTTTGTTGGACATTTCTAGATAGAGCTGGAATTAGGGCATAACAGCTTTTGTAAACAATGGCTTCTCTCGATGATTTTTCGAAAGACATGGCTCTTCCTGGCAAATCAACATTACCATCGAATAGGGGAAGACTTCCCCTACCCGATGGATAAGTTGATTTGTGTAGGGGTGCCTTGAGTTGCTAGAAATCGACGAGAGAATTCATTGCTTACAAAAGCTGTTACGCCCTAATTCCAGCTCTATCTAGATTTGTTCTTAAGTCTCAACATTCAAAATTCTATGTACTTCGGTAGTACTGAACCAGGGAGGCAATTTCAAAATCATCTTGAGAACTTTGTTCTTAATCCTTTCAAGTTCTTTTTTCCTGGTAGTGCAAGATCTAGACCATATTGGCACAGTATAAAGCAGGACCGGTCTAAAAACTTATTTAAATATTAGAAGTTTATTCTTCAGGCAAAGTATGCATTTTCTGTTTATAAAAGGATACAAACATCTTATATATTTATTACATCAATGTGATCTTTCAACACAACCACTTTCAATAGGATTACAATCTAAATATGTGGACCTTATATCGGCTCTTAACCATGCGAACAGTATAATACAGGTTTTTAAGGAGAGACGAGCTGACGCTGAAGCAAAATTTGCTGAAATTTTTAATGCAACCTCAAAGCTGCATATGTCTGTTTTCGAATGTGCAGTTACGACTACATCCACGTGCATCCAAGCAAACAATACGTGCAAATCAATCAGTAGAAACACCAGAGGAATACTATCGAAGAGCAGTTTTCATTCCATGGCTCGATGCATTGATCCAAAACATGATGGGACGTTTCACAAAAAATGATGACATCCTTCCGGTGTTCCAAATATTTTTGCCTGGTTTTACAGATATTGGAGAGTCATCCCAACTTGACAAACTTAACTGTTATCTCTGTGATTTCACCAGCGTGGTTGCCAGAGTTGCGACCTATCATAATCACGATCGCCAAACAGTTGATGGTAGTAACGCTTTGTACATTCCTATCAATGTGCTCGTCGAAGCTGACCATCCATCAAGTTAACGAAAGAAGTAAAAAGCAACTGGTGAATGTCGTCTTCTGTTGTGATCCATCACCGATCTGGTCATTCCCGACAATCACGACACTCATCTGTGCTCGTTTTGGAGGAGTTGCTGCTTTGCTTGCTTATTTGAGTGTGTCGGTGAGTGAGCCCAACAGCTTCCGTTTCATGTTGCCTGGTTTGTTTGTAACTCACACAGTCGCACCTGCCGAAACGAACTTGGAATGCGTAGGCATTGTTTTCATTTTCTTCTGTCGCTTCGCTTTTTCTCATCATCGTACTGCAGAATTCTTCACTGTTTTCGTTGTGCTTTTCATGATCAGCAGCGAGTGTAACGTTTTGCTTGTGAGCAGCGACCATTACTGGTGATTGTTGTTTGCCATAGCTCTAACTCTCAGAGCGTGACAAAACGATCTGTCAGCGATAGTCGGTTGATGCGAAGACGAGTGTCACGTGAGTGTCATGTTATTTTGCATCACTGGCTGGTTGCAGGTAAAGGTTGAATACGAGCTCTGGTGCCGGACATCCATAAATATTAACAAGAATTTTGAGGCATTTGGGCTGCTTGATAAATGTGAGTCGACGTATTTTCCAACAATTAATGTTTTGTTGAAGATTTTGTTGACACTACCGGTCACTACAGCCAGTGTGGAAAGATCTTTCTCCACACTGAAACGAATTAAAACTAATGGGAAACCAGCGACTTTCGGGCTTGGCTATAATATCAATTAACTGCTTAGAGTAAAGCTAGAAGATTACTTTTGTAATAACCAGGTATAATGTCCAGGATATGGCTCTACGTTGTGTTTAATTTGTTGCTCAGATTTTTGGACAGCAGTTTGGAGATCGGCAACTGATTCAAATGAAGTAAAAGAATACATTTCTCATTCACTATTTATTACCTCTTTCAGGCAGCACCCTGATCGGAAGTCAAATTCAAACTTAATCTAATTGCATTAAATATTTGCACTTATATAGCTTACTGGAACAATACAAAATATCACAGAATAACGATCAATTCAAAAACAAAACAAAAATACAGTGATGCTAAAACAAAAACTTAAAAACATACAGAATGATGAAGGCAACAATATTCGGTGTTCGTGTTTCGTATGGATCACATTGCTGCACATTGCACTGCATCGAGGGATGTTTGTTATTTACCGCCTTCATAAATTTAAATGAAGTAGGATCCGGTGCCGGTGATTTTACGATTCAACACCATTAATATCTTAAAATAATTATGTTTTAAAAAATATGTAACAAATTTTTGTCTTTCTTAACAGAATGCAAATCTTGATCATCATTACCAACAGAAAACAATTAAAACTACAAATATTTCCTTGAATTTCATACATTTGTTTAACTTTTTTCATAACTGCGTATTAAAGAGTTTGAAAAATTATTATTTTACATTCTAATGGTTTATTAAAAATTCCGATCAAAAATTGAAACGAATTAACAAAAAAAAAAAAAAAAAAAAAAATGACGACTCATGATTTTGAACGATTTTGGTTAAGGTAAAAAAAAAACAGTGTATCAATCGATGTTCAGTTAGGCGCACATTTTATAAATCATTGAAGTTTTTATGTCATAAAATTAGCTCCCCCCGAAACCAAATGCTGGCGACTGGCCTGCCTGAGTGGTATTGTTTTGGTATTGTATCCAAAGTATTTTGCATGTAATTTTTTGGTATTATTCTTTGGTATTTTACCTCTTATGTCATGCTGGTCAATACCAAATTTTGGTATCAGATCAGAATTAGGTATTCATTAGTTATTTTCTCCTGCTCGAGAGGCTATTTTGACATCTCCTGGAAGTTTCTTCTGACGTCCATCTGGCTTAAAGTATCTTCCGATTTCTACAGAAACTTTAGCCAGTGTTCCCCCAGCAATTTCTTCCGACATTTTTTCATAAGTATTTCCACTTTAGGTCAGAAGTTTGTACCGGCTCCTGTGTATAGGTTAGTACACGCTACTTCAAAACTTCCCAAATTTGATTTGGATTCACCCAGATAGGTTGATGGGTGCGATATCCTACGCATATGTGGAAGCTGCCTCCCTGCACATTCGACTGTCGTAAATGGATGGCAATAGATGTCCGTCGGTGATTGGCACTAGATTGCGGAACAGAGACCTACGTTAAAGAAAGGAATCAAGACGCAGAACTACGTGATTGATTCGATCACGTCGTAATCAATAGTATATTTAATGTTTCTGTTCGATATGACGATTCGAAATAGTGCTCTACCATATCCCATATAGGGTGATTTTTTCCTCAATCGCATTAAAGAATTCCGAATAATTATCAGTTAAAGAAACTTCCAAATATTAACAGGTAATTAGGTCCAAATCAATTTCACGATGTGGAATGTATGACCTAGAAACTTATAATGATCACAACAGAGCTCTTCTTTTCAGTTATCACAGGTGAGCCATTAAAAGCAGTCAGCTATCACTGAACCTATCACACGCTGAATAAAATAGGTCATCGATGGCAGCAATAAAATTAATTACATCCTCCTGCGGGAATCAACATGCAAAATATTAAGCCAAATTTAGCACAATTTTATAATCATTCTAACCCACTAATCAACCCTCCGCCCCAACTAACATTGAGGTGCTAATTTTGCCTTTGCCTTTGGAACACGGACCCAATTGGTTTCGCCGGATCTCATTACGAGCGCTTCCCAAACGCTCTCTTTCTCTCTGTTCCGTCTGTCGTTCCAGGTGACGAATGGGAGTGCAATCTTTCGGCTGAGGTGGGCAACGAGAGCGGTGAGAACGTGTACGGGATCAACAATTTGCCTGCGGCCATCTACACGGGGCCAACGGTTAACCCAGTTCGACTGACAACGCCGCTTGGTTCCATAGAGAGCGATGTGAGCGTAACGGAGAATGGCGGAGAGGGTTTCGTCGACGGCGGCGTCGGTGGCAGTAACACTGAAGAAGTGACCGATTCGGTAGCGGCTACCACCATCGGTCAACAGCAAATAACGAACCTTCCCACCGTCAGTGGGGACAATGAAGGTTATTATATTGTATTGGATGGCGATGGAAACAATCGGACAACCATCTATCACACACCGGCTCCGTATGAGGTGGAAGAAACAGAGGAATTCAGTGGAGATGGTATGATTGAGGATGCTAGGCCGACAATTGGTTTGAACTTCGAAGGAGATACAGAAGAGAAGCATTCCTCCTCGATGATGACTTCTGATGAGAATATGGAATTGTCCAAAAATGATTTAAATCTATTCCTGGCGGATTATACACTACAGACGAGCAGTGAAGCTCCTTCGCACAACAAGAAGAAGAAACATCCACTGCCTCCGAATGGCAAGATACATCCTGAACATCTAACGGCAATTTTGAACCAACAGAAGAAATTGAACCGATATGCTTCTCAAATCAAACGCAAAGGAGATCCAACCGGAGGAGTTGGCAATAGGTCACCTTTCTCCGATCAACCGGTGTTTACTAGTCGCCCGGAGGGGTCGGTCTTGTTCAATGTGCCACAGAGAATTCCGGAAGAATCGAATACAAAGGCTCCCTTCATGTCCGAGGATGTGATACGGAGCATTATCGAGATTTCTAAACAGATGATGTCAAACCAGAAACCTTCGATGGAAGAGATGTACGTGAAGCCGATTTTCATTCCAATTTCAGTCAGCTCGGCTGCGCAAGATTTCACCAGACTCCCTGAACAACCGAGCAAGATCATGTACCACCACCTGTTTCCATCGCTTTCCAATAATAGCTCACAGTTCAGTCCGAAACCGATTGGAATTACTATAACGAACCCTTACACTCTAGGTCACCAAGCCACGATTTACGACAACTTGCGCAATCAGATCATGAACGGTTCGCAGTACTACAACTACCAAACGGCAATGGTAGACAGTTATGGAAGCCGTTTCCCGCCACAGCAGGTGCCGAATGCCCCGCCAATGTACCCATATCCGCCACCCATGGCCTATCCAGTCTACAGCCAGCAGAACTACCAGTACCCCAGCAACCAGCAGAACTTCCAGTATCCCAATAATCAGCAGACCTATCAGTATCCCAATCCCTACTACAGCCTCCCACAAGTTATGAACCGCCTACGGAACACTGCCAGTTACGATAACGATAATTCGCAGTCGAATGAGAATACCATTTCCGATGAAGAGGACGATGCATCGGCCGAACTGCCGGAGAAAGAAGAACCTTCAACTCCTAATGAGCAATCCTCGGAGGAAAACGACGAGGTCCTCGAAGATACCGGCTCGAAGAAACTTATTTCTGTAGGAGGATATACCTTGAACTACAACGACTATAAGGACAGCATCCTTCCTCTATTGGACGCAAACCCAGACGAAGTCCGCATCTCCGTCCTGACCTGTACTCTCGGATCGCGGCAACCGAACAAGACCGAATGCACCAAGTACTACGTATGCAATCCCCATAACGGAGCATTCCAATCCTTCACTTGTCCCTCGTTCACCGCCTTCAACGCGGAAACCCGCGTTTGCGACTCAGCCACGTACAAATCCTGCAAAACGGTCAAACCAACTACCACAACTCCTGTACCCATCACTCTTTCTCGATTGACTCAAAATGCACACAAGACTAAGCCGAATAACCAGGACAAGCTGAACAAATATGTCGACATGATCACAAAGGAAGCCTACAAGATTCTCAGTCGTAATAAGATACCAACTGAATATCCCGAAGAGCCCCAAAATGACGGCATGATCCGCATCACAGCGCCTACCATGTCCAGCAGTATGCTGCCATCGCTGCCATCCATCACCATGCCAACGGTCCCTTCATCGACGAAGCGGTTGCAAGCAAAACCTAAGCGAAAGCACAGCAAAAAGCGAACATCAACCAAGACAAACCGGAAATCTGTGCGAAAATCTACGACCACACCGACGACAACGACGACCACGGAGGCACCACCGAAGGCACCCAAGTGTAAGAAGAATGGAAAAATGTCTGATCCGGCGGAGAAGCACAACTACTACGTGTGCTACAAGGCCAATCCGAAGAAGTTTATCAAAACGAAAATGGCCTGCCCGAACAACCTGGTGTACTGTGGGAGTACGGGGTACTGTACGTATGCGAAGAACTGTAAAAATTAGCCCGTCGTAGGGGAGTTAGGTGGTTGAGTGTAACATAGGATTTCTTAGTTTAGGTATTTATTTATTTAATGCGAGTATTTATTAAATGTGGATGATAGAAAATAAAGAACAGTCCGTAAAGTGCATTGCGTTTTGAATGGTTCGAACTCACTCACTCTCAGCAAAGGGCCAACGTGGAAGATTTCCATCTGGGCGGCTATTTGGCCATGTAAAGACATTCCCAGGTATTTTCAGCACACAGACCGATAAAAGTAGCTTCTATCTAGCATCTAATATAACAAACACAACAAAAAACGGTTATGTGCTCAAGTTATTAACTAAAGAGAAAATCTACGAAGAGAATCGATCACGACCAAATGCATTGTTCAGCTTGATTTCGTTTCTGCACCTTCATAGTCTCCATGGTATGCGGCCGACGTTTCTGATGGTCTCGACAATGGAGCTCCGCATTCGAGATCCAGTTGTGAGGCTAAGAACGAATCACATTCCGAAGGCATCGATTGATGAAGACCTGTAGCATTTGAGTGTTCTCCAATGATACGCACCATTGGCTCATTGGCTTAATAACATTGTAGTTATCACGTTTGATTGAATTGAAAATTCGGTTTTTGGTGCACTGTCTAATCTGGACTTACTATGCTGTCAAAAATAGTGTTTTTAGTAGTGACTGTAGTTGTAAAACTGTGACCCATGAGAAGAAAAATAGTCGTTCTGATGGCACACAAAATAAATTTGTGATGTTATAGACTTATTCAATTTGTATCTCATAAATACTTAAATTGATGACCAAACCTTCTAGTCTTAGAGTTACCTCTATGGTATTAGGGTGTACTACCTAGAAAAACCTGGAAAACCGGGAATCCTCAGGGAATTTTCTTTTTCCTGAAAATATCTGAAAGTTTCAGGGCATCTCATCATTACTGAGGGAATTCAATAATTTCCTCACTGGATATTTAAAAGATAAGAATTGTGCTCGACTGTAATATATAATTGTCAAGTCTAAGTTGGTGGAAATGTCGCAGCGAAATGATAATGGAAATGACCCATCAACTCATGAACCGGGGACCAACGGCTTTACTTCCCATCCGAAGGAAGTCGTAATCAGAGATGTTATGCCTCAGAACATCCCAGCGGCGCCGACTGGGATTGAACCCAGGCCTGCTGGGGTGAGTACTTACTTACTTACTTACTTACTTACTTACTTACTTACTTACTTACTTACTTACTTACTTACTTACTTACTTACTTACTTACTTACTTACTTACTTACTTACTTACTTACTTACTTACTTACTTACTTACTTACTTACTTACTTACTTACTTACTTACTTACTTACTTACTTACTTACTTACTTACTTACTTACTTACTTACTTACTTACTTACTTACTTACTTACTTACTTACTTACTTACTTACTTACTTACTTACTTACTTACTTACTTACTTACTTACTTACTTACTTACTTACTTACTTACTTACTTACTTACTTACTTACTTACTTACTTACTTACTTACTTACTTACTTACTTACTTACTTACTTACTTACTTACTTACTTACTTACTTACTTACTTACTTACTTACTTACTTACTTACTTACTTACTTACTTACTTACTTACTTACTTACTTACTTACTTACTTACTTACTTACTTACTTACTTACTTACTTACTTACTTACTTACTTACTTACTTACTTACTTACTTACTTACTTACTTACTTACTTACTTACTTACTTACTTACTTACTTACTTACTTACTTACTTACTTACTTACTTACTTACTTACTTACTTACTTACTTACTTACTTACTTACTTACTTACTTACTTACTTACTTACTTACTTACTTACTTACTTACTTACTTACTTACTTACTTACTTACTTACTTACTTACTTACTTACTTACTTACTTACTTACTTACTTACTTACTTACTTACTTACTTACTTACTTACTTACTTACTTACTTACTTACTTACTTACTTACTTACTTACTTACTTACTTACTTACTTACTTACTTACTTACTTACTTACTTACTTACTTACTTACTTACTTACTTACTTACTTACTTACTTACTTACTTACTTACTTACTTACTTACTTACTTACTTACTTACTTACTTACTTACTTACTTACTTACTTACTTACTTACTTACTTACTTACTTACTTACTTACTTACTTACTTACTTACTTACTTACTTACTTACTTACTTACTTACTTACTTACTTACTTACTTACTTACTTACTTACTTACTTACTTACTTACTTACTTACTTACTTTTTTTTAACTAGTTTGTTTATTCACTAGGCTCAGTCGTGTGTGACACTTTGCCAAAAATCCGTTATTTTTTAATTAACATTTTAAACAGCAGTAATCTAGGTTAGTATTGGGTACCAATTACTCGTGGCGGGCTCGAGGTTAATGGGTAACAATTACGATTGGAAGGAACTAGGTAGGAAACAGGTTTTTGAATCCTCCTTCAGATACTACTCTCGAACGGTTGATCAAATGCTGGCTCGGCAGGGGCAAGTAGCACAGAAACAGGTGGATAATAAGACAGGGACACAATGACTGGAAATTGTTTGAAAAGGAGGGGATGGTCACATCAAACTCTAACATCAGACAAACAAAGGAATTCGTAGATCGCCTGCATGTAGGAAAGAGCACGGGTTCCCAATACATCTCTTACTTCACGGAAGGGTTGTCTACCTCGGGCCACTAGGGTATCCAATAGTCGTGCTCTGGAGGCGTCATTACCCGGGCAATACCAAACTGCGTGATCGATGTCATCATATCCGGATCTGCACCTATATATATTGCTGTCAACGAGATTTATTCTGTAGAGATGTGCGTCTAGCGAATAGTGGTCATGACATCACTCGAATGAATCCCCGACTTACATCCAGACCTTTGAACCACGCTCTCGAAGAAACATTTGGAATAAGGAATGGAATGTAACCACCGCCCAAGAGAATTACTTGTCCAATCGTTTTGCCAACTTAAAAGAGAACTCTGACGTACTAATGGGAAAAATTCATCATGTGAAATTCTTGTATCATAAATCTCGCCTTGTTGTGCGCTCACCTTTGCGAGAGAGTCTGTCTTCTCATTGGCTGGGATTGAGCATTGTAAGGGGACCCATACAAAGGTAATCCTATATGATCTTTCGACAAGCAAACTCATCTGCTCCCTTACCTTTGAAAGGAAATAAGATGAGTGCCTACCTTGTTTCATCGACCGAATAGCCTCAATCAAACTGAGGCTATCCGAGAAGACGAAGTAATGGTCTATAGGCATGTTGGAAATCATCCCCAATGGGAGGGAAGTTGATTGCTGCTAGCTCAGCAACATAATCGGAACAATGTTCCTGAAGTTTTCGGAAGGCGGTTGAGTATTCATTGAAGAAACCAAAGCCAGTGGATCCATCAATGCAGTTTCTTAATGTCTAAATTTCTAAATTTCTAAATTTCTAAATTTCTGAATTTCTAAATTTCTAAATTTCTAAATTTCTAAATTTCTAAATTTCTAAATTTCTAAATTTCTAAATTTCTTAATTTCTAAATTTCTAAATTTCTTAATTTCTAAATTTCTTAATTTCTTAATTTCTTAATTTCTTAATTTCTAAATTTCTTAATTTCTTAATTTCTTAATTTCTTAATTTCTTAATTTCTAAATTTCTCAACTTCTTCATTTCTTAATTTTTAAATTTCTTAATTTTCTTAATTTCTTAATTTCTTGATTTCTTAATTTCTTAATTTCTTAATTTCTTAATATCTAAATTTCTTAATTTCTTAATTTCTTAATTTCTTTATTTCTTAATTTCTTAATTTCTTTATTTCTTAATTTCCTAATTTCTTAATTTCTAAATTTCTAAATTTCTTAATTTCTAAATTTCTTAATTTCTTAATTTCTTAATTTCTTAATTTCTAAATTTCTTAATTTCTTAATTTCTTAATTTCTTAATTTCTTAATTTCTTAATTTCTAAATTTCTCAACTTCTTAATTTCTTAATTTTTAAATTTCTTAATTTCTTAATTTCTTAATTTCTTAATTTCTTGATTTCTTAATTTCTTAATTTCTTAATTTCTTAATATCTAAATTTCTTAATTTCTTAATTTCTTAATTTCTTTATTTCTTAATTTCTTTATTTCTTAATTTCTTAATTTCTTTATTTCTTAATTTCCTAATTTCTTAATTTCTAAATTTCTAAATTTCTTAATTTCTAAATTTCTTAATTTCTTAATTTCTTAATTTCTTAATTTCTAAATTTCTTAATTTCTTAATTTCTTAATTTCTTAATTTCTTAATTTCTTAATTTCTAAATTTCTCAACTTCTTAATTTCTTAATTTTTAAATTTCTTAATTTCTTAATTTCTTGATTTCTTAATTTCTTAATTTCTTAATTTCTTAATATCTAAATTTCTTAATTTCTTAATTTCTTAATTTCTTTATTTCTTAATTTCTTAATTTCTTTATTTCTTAATTTCCTAATTTCTTAATTTCTTAATTTCTTAATTTCTAAATTTCTCAACTTCTTAATTTCTTAATTTTTAAATTTCTTAATTTCTTAATTTCTTAATTTCTTGATTTCTTAATTTCTTAATTTCTTAATTTCTTAATATCTAAATTTCTTAATTTCTTAATTTCTTAATTTCTTTATTTCTTAATTTCTTTATTTCTTAATTTCCTAATTTCTTAATTTCTTAATTTCTTAATTTCTTAATTTCTTAATTTCTTAATTTCTTAAATTCTTAAATTCTTAATTTCTTAATTTCTTAATTTCTTAATTTCTTAGTTTCTTAATTTCCTAATTTCTTAATTTCTTAATTTCTTAATTTCTTATTTCCTAATTTCTTAATTTCTTAATTTCTTAATTTCCTAATTTCTTAATTTCCTAATTTCTTAATTTCTTAATTTCTTGATTTCTTGATTTCTTGATTTCTTGATTTCTTGATTTCTTGATTTCTTGATTTCTTGATTTCTTGATTTCTTGATTTCTTGATTTCTTGATTTCTTGATTTCTTGATTTCTTGATTTCTTGATTTCTTGATTTCTTGATTTCTTGATTTCTTGATTTCTTGATTTCTTGATTTTTTTGTTCTTGATTTCTTGATTTCTTGATTTCTTGATTTCTTGATTTCTTGATTTCTTGGTTTCTTGATTTCTTGATTTCTTGATTTCTTGATTTCTTGATTTCTTGATTTCTTGATTTCTTGATTTCTTGATTTCTTGATTTCTTGATTTTTTGATTTCTTGATTTCTTGATTTCTTGATTTCTTGATTTCTTGATTTCTTGATTTCTTGATTTCTTGATTTCTTCATGTCTTAATTGCTTAATTTATTAATTTCTCGATTTCTTGATTGATTGATTTAATGATTGATTGATTTATTGATTTATTGATTTATTGATATATTGATATATTGATTTATTGAATTAATGATTTATTGATTTATTGATTTATTTATTTATTTATTTTAAAACAACTTGAAGCATCTGCTGACTGAAAATGATTTGCTGTATGCATTGTTTTTTTCACATATGACGTTTAGAGATGAACTAGTCTTCGGCTAAAAATAAAAAAAGCTAATGAAAAAAAAAGCATATGACGTTTCACTGTAAGCGTATCTGCAGTTTTTGTGTTATCATCACATTAATGTTGCAAAATATCATGACACTCACGTGACACTCGTCTACGCATCAACCGACTTTCGCTGACAGAGGTAGAGCCATGGCAAACAACAATCACCAGTAATGGTCGCTGCTCACAAGCAAAACGTTACACTCGCTACTGACGATGAAAAGCATAACGAAAACAGTGAAGACTTCTGCAGTACGATCATGAGAAAAAGCGAAACGACAGAAGAAAATGAAAACAATGCCTACGCATTCCAAGTTCGTCTAGGCAGGCGGCGCGACTGTGTGAGTTAAAATATATTATAATATTGGCGTCTTGCAGTGAAACTTTTCCAAGCTTTCGCCACCTACATTTCGATGTGAGAACTACTAGAAGGAGGATAGTTTCCAAATTCTCCAAGTAAAACAGACGATTTTTGGGGCAAATCGGTCTATAATGAAAAACTTATAATTTCCCGTGGAAACTTTTGCTTGAATCGTGTAAGAAAACGTGTTTGAAAGCTAACTGTTACTATTTCGGTATGGATCGGAGATGTTTTCATGGAAAATTATGCATAACAAGTTTGCACCCACAAGGAGAGGTTACCTCCTGCGCAGCTGCATTTTTCGGAAAATGGTGAATATGTGCAATTTCCACTAAGATGAAAGTGAAAATTAAGTGAATTTACTTAGGAAAGGTTGTATCATGCTGGTGGTAATGGAGAATTGGTTGTATAGGACGCAAATATTCAATAAATGTTCATTTTGGCTTTTTTAAGGTAAACATATTGATACTCACAATTTTCGTCGGAAACGTAACGGAACTTGATGTACTCAACACGCACCATACTATAAAATGGTGCTAGATGGTTTTCAAAGTGATAACAAGATGACAAATCATCTTTATTTTGAGTAATTGAGCAATTTACTTCTGTTTACATCATATGTACGATGCAGCATTGGTGCAGCTGTGAAATGAAATGAATATATCTTATGAAAGTTCATCTGGAAAAGTCAAAGATGCACATCAGTCTGATCGTGAAAACATTTTCTTCTTCAATTCGAATGTTATATTGCAAGGATTTTACGCAGGCTTGATAAAAATTATGATTTAATGCTAATTTTCACGAATTTTATATGCAGCCTGTCAACATTATCATCATCATGCAGTGGCGACATCTGCGTCGAGCTTTTACGGCAATCTTCCAATTATTGGATTCGCAGCAGCATACCCCCGACGGGTTTATAAAACAAGCGATGTGCTGTAACCTCAATGAGGTACAGAGAGAGGTGAAGCAGATCGTGAAATATTGTTATATTATAGCGAATTCGTTTATTATCGGGGTTGGAACCACCCGCATAAACGCGAACCATAAATTGACCTTACCTAAAAAGGTTAAAAATTGTTTATAATCCCTGCTAAACTTTAACTGAAATGGTTATGGAACTTTACATGAACGTTTAATGATAAAGTTTCAACCTTATGTATTATGGTTTTTTGGAACTGGACCTTACAAATAATGGGTTGTTAAGAACCATTACCGTTCCAAATTCTTGTTTTCTCCATACATTTTCAGAAAGAGAACTATATTAGAACCTTTTAACTTATGGTTTGAGAACTTTAATGGTAATGGTTATGGTAGTCAGTAAGGTCCACGAATGGTTTTATAACATCGATCAACTTTATGTGGAATATATCGCGAATTGGTTGCCTGTAATTTACTGATTACCAATTCACGATATATTCCACGTAAAGTTGAGCGATAATACAAAACCATTAATGGACCTTACTGACTACCATAACCATTACCATTAATGTTCTCAAATCATAAGTAAAAACGTTCTTATATAGTTCTCTTTCTGAAAATGTATGGAGAAAACAAGAATTTGGAATGGTAATGGTTCTTAACAACCCATTATTTGTAAGGTCCAGTTCCAAAAAACCATAATACATAAGGTTGAAACTTTATCATTAAACGTTCATGTAAAGTTCCATAACCATTTCAGTTAAAGTTTAGCAGGGATTATAAACAATTTTTAACCTTTTTAGGTAAGGTCAATTTATGGTTCGCGTTTATGCGGGCAGTTCCAACCCAGTGCGAAACCGAACTTTTTGTCAGTGCGAACCTCAACCTGAGCTGGGTTTTAAAAACAAACGATCAAACTGACGTTTGTCAGAAAACAAGCAGACCAAATCTTGATACCCGATCCAGGTTGGAACTGAATAATAAACGAATTCGCTATTAGAAAACCAAAAAATCAACGTAAACGCAAGTAGTGACGTCACTAATTGCTTGTATCGTACAGGGGTTTTACTCACACAACTTAACCGATTGCTTCACCTCTGTAATCCAGCTCATTTCTGTAACCTGATCACGAAACGTCAACATCATACTCTGACGTTTGAATCAAATGGAACTTTCTGAACTTTATTACACGCACCCATGCGTAAGTCTGTTATCCTCACTTTCGCTCCAGCCAAAAATGATAGTTTGTTATTGTTATCCTCACTGTCAGACCATCAATACTCGCGCATAAAATGATGGACGATAATCCTATGCATTTGTTTACAAACAGTACCTTAGTCACAAAATAGGTAAAGTCTAACTCGTGAACCGTAATTAAATTGAAGTGGTAAAATAATAATCGTTTCAACAGTTAATGCAAACCCGGGATTGCAAACAGCTAAAATGAGTGAATCACAGATGCTGGATGTAGTCGAACTGGTCGAAAACGAAAAAAACAAAACCAACGTAAAATGTACGCACTGCGATTCGTTGATTCTGAAACCGGCCACTGCTGACTATGTAGAAAGCGAGGTAAGTTTGATTATTTGTGTTTATGCTATGGTAATTTGAATGAATTTTACGAATTATATCAAAAACTATTTAAATGTCCTAATAACTATCAACCTAGACAATTCTACTCATTGCTGACGTAATTAATACAATAATTAGCAATGAACATAAATACTAATGTTTGACCTGGTTCAGTTCTGTACAGCTTTTCGTTATGGTAACAATAAATTAAAAACTACAGCACACCACCAAAGAGCATTAAATGTGACACTATACTAAACAAGATCCATATAAGAGTGTGAAAAACCAATAAAATCTAAATCTAATGATTTGCTTTGTATGGCCATAATACATTTAGAATGTAACCGGCATAAGGACGGCTTGAATCTTGCGTGAGTCGATGGATTATTTGAGGCGAATAACTGCCATTATTAAAACCTCTCCTCGTGCAGAACAGATGATGATGTTCCCACCTCTCACCCCTGATTCTACGACAATATCCGGAAAACTGTTCATCGGAAATCAATTTCCCGGTGCCGAAATATTATTGCATGGAATGTACCATTTCCCGGAAAACAATGAAACGGAAAGCATACTTTTTAACATTTTTAAAACCAACGCTGAACCGTTTTGGTCATGAAAATTCAAATAGGTATAAGATCAATAGAAATCATAATAAGTACCTACCCAATACCGCACTGGCAATGCTCAAAATACATTAAAAATTTAAAACTGTATAACTAAACTGACTTGTCATTGTCATTACTGGTTGCAGATTTCGAACTTAAATTAACAAATGAAATAAGATTTGTATTACTTATTAACGTATGATTTTCTAGATAATACAGTCTTCTTTGAAAAATAGGCTGTTCTTTGACTGAATAAGTTCTAAAATTGTCAAAGAACAGCCTATATAGCAAAGAAGGCTGTATTATATAGAGGATCCTAATATATCGTCGAAAGATCTACAACCAGTATATTTTGATTCCGGAAAATAGTGCTTCCGGGAACAAGTTTTCCGGAAAATGGTTCTTTTCGGATAATGGTCATCCGGGTAACGGTTACCCCTAAAGGTTTGAGCTGGATGATTTATCTTTAGGATAAAAAATACGACCCTCTATAGTTTACAGTTGCTTCACAGCGATAAAACATGTATACACTAAATAAAGACTGATTCTTTCGTGAGTTGTTGATAGCTATTGTTCCCTTTTTTCTTGCAGTTCGACCTGCCCGAACCGCAGCAGAAGAGACGCCAATCGTCGGATCCGGTCGGTGAACCAGCGCCGTTCACCTGCGAGAAGCTGAAACACTTCTGGGTCGTCAGCGATATGTTCACCTTTGAGAACATTGGTTTCTCGCACACGGTGGACAAAACCAAGTACCTGATCTGTGCTGATTGCGAAATCGGCCCAGTTGGCTATCACGATCTCCAGACGAAACGATGCTACATTGCACTGCAACGGGTGAAGCATACGGCATGAATCGGCGTCATACTTTAGGGAGTTTCTTTTCCGTTCCAACAGTCACCAGCTGAACCAACGCAACGCATATGAATGCAGATGACAACAGTTTAGAGTTTTATAATGTGATTATAATCTTCTTCTTTTTTTACAACGCTTATTTAGACCATCCTAAAATTATCTAGAAACTATTTTCTGAAGGAAACGGTTTGTTAAGAACTAAAAGCAGTTTGTGGAAAAAGCAGTATTTTTCCAAAAAAAAAAAAAAAACAATGTTAATGCTTTAATACGTAGTAAAAATATCAGAATTCCATTTCGGGACTAGGACTTACAACTTGGCAAAGGTTGTATTCTGCTGCTCCTGGAGCATCGAGTGAAACAGTGTTTCCGCATTAAGGGCAAGTTCTCGGGGCAGTCCCTGTTCGGTGATTTCGCCTTCCTTCATCACAACGATTCGGTCGGTATTTTGCAGCCCGTTCAGTCTGTGAGCAATCAGAATTACGGTTCGCCCGCGGAAGGCATTTTTCAGCACAAGCTGTATGGCTGATTCCGCTTCGTAGTCCAGGTTGGCGGTACCCTCGTCTATTAGGACGATTTTGGACTTTTTAAGTAGAGCTCGTGTAAGGCAAAGAAGCTGCTTCTGACCGGCGGATAGATTGGATCCGCTGGGGTCTAGCTTGGCGTTAAGCCCACCCAAGGCTTGCACGAGAGGACTTGCCAGACAGCAAGTGATGGCTTCCCAAATCTCCGAATCTAGGTGAAGCCCTCGGGGATCGAGATTCTCCCTAATGGTGCCATTGAACAGGAAAGGATCTTGTGATACGACTGCAATTCGACTTCGCAGAACGTCGAGTGGAAGGGTTGCAATGTTTACACAGTCGATTGTGATGGTACCCTTCGAAAGGGGAGCCACCCTCATTATTGAAGCTAGAACAGAGGTCTTACCTGCGCCGGTCCTTCCGACGATGCCGATTCTCTCGCAAGATGTTATATGCATCGAAAGTCCCCTGAGCGCCATAGGCAGATGCTCGCGATAATTGAGATAAACATTGTCGAATACTACAACCCCTTGATAGGGCCAACCGAATGGCGGATCGGCCGATCCTTCGCAATTGACTTCCTTCTCCAATTCGCAATACTGGTTAACTCTTTCAATTGCGACAAACTCCTGTTCAGTTTCGGATACTGCATTGAGCAATCCGGACAGCAACCCAGTGATCGATAGGGCGTAGGAAATCGTTAGGCCAACCATTTCCGGTGAGGTTAGGTGAGCGGAAGTGATAGCTGCTAGCAATCCGGCCCCACCCACCAGGAAAGCCCCCAGCAGTTGAAGCCTCAATCCGAGCCACTGTTGGGCAGCAGATGACGAAAGTTGAGCCTTAATGCTTTCGCCAAGCTTGAAGAGGAAGTTTTTCTTAAATCGAGCTTCACCTCGCATCGCTCGGATCGTGGCCATCCCCTGAAGCGTTTCCGTAAAGTGAGTATACAGCGGTGACAGGGCATTGCTCGATAGTCGCTTGATGTCCCGTGATGCGTATCGGTACTGATTCTGCAGTGTTAGGTAGATCGGGCACAGCGGAACGACGAGCAGCCCCAGCCAGGGCATTGCATATAGACTGATGGCGAGGGCACCAAGCAGGCCGAAGAACTGGGCCAGTAGTATGTTCAGGATGAACGGGAGCGAATCGTCGATGGTGTAGACGTCGGACGAGAAGCGATTCAGGATGCGACCCAGCGGGGCAATGTCGAAGAATTGGAACTTTGTCTGCGGGAAAAGAGGAAGAGTTTATATTAGACTAATGCTAGCTTGTGGCAGGTTGGTTCGGGGTGATCCAATAGGTTGAAATCATTCTATTTAATATTTAAGTAGCCTTTTCCACCCATGGCCGGCAGTTTTCTTTTCAATGTTCCTCCAGGAAATTTTAGGCAAATTCAGTGGCATGTAAGTCAAGGAACCGGAGACCCCAAATGTTTACCTCAAAGTTTGTCGAACATTTGAATAAAGAAAGAGGGTAGGATTAGTAATTTCCATTTCATTTCACTACCTTAATTGCTTATCCTTGACAGATACGCGTTTTTCGTCTGCACTGCACTTCTTCTTCGCATCTTATGAAGCTCATGCAAAATAAAAATTGGATGGAATATGGAGCAACATGTGGAAAGGGTCTATGAACTAAATGTAAACAAAGACGTCGATTTATCGCGGATATGGACTCTTTCAGACAATTCAGACAGTTATTTTGCGTGTGCGTGTTGTGATTCGTGAGCAATCGACGTTCAAAGTCGTTGTTTACGTTTGACTTGTAGGCCCTTTTCACATGTTGCTCGAGATTTGAAAATTGACAAAAATCGTAGAGCAAGAGTTCTCGGTAAACATTTTGAACTTAATGTTTGCACAGAAAACAATTTGCATTACACATTTTTTTATGAGTATGGTTAACTACCCCATTTCCGGCCTATTAAGCACAACCCGCACTTAATCTTTCTTAATATAGCGCAGTTTAGCATCAAACGGAATGTTATTATTACTGATGGCTTACAAATTTATTTACCTTTCCGTACGTACCAAAAGATTTGATAAAGAGAAACCAATCGTTGAGATATTGTCAAAAGTCTAACACTGCTTCTTGACGCCAAACTCGGTCTAAGAATTCTAAACTCGACCTAACGCTTTTTTTGTTTTTGGGAATAATAGGTGCAAACCTTCATATCACGCGTTCTCATTGACTTTGTTCGGTAGCTTACTAACTAAAGTATCGTACCAAACGCACAATTGACTTGTTTACTCTGAAATCATGGATTTATTTCAAGTTTTCTGCTCGATAGGCCCAAAATGGGCGATTAAGCCGAAGTAGTTCTCTACCCTATAGGTAAAAATTAATAAAAAAGTTAAAAAATTTGACCAAAAGGCCTTGTTCTACGATTTTTGTCAGTTTTCAAGTGTTTATGGTTTTCAATAATCCAAAAGCTTGCATTTTGCATGAGGTTATAAACACTCCTGTTTACTTCGCCCATTCGATTGAAAACAATGTTGTTAGTCTTCCAGTCTCTCACTTCAAGCAGCACTTGAGCGAAGACCAGCATAGTTTCATGGCAGGGCGTTCGACTACTTCCAACCTTCTGTGTCTCACCTCGTACATTACGGAGAGTATGACAGACCATATGCAAACAGATGTCATCTACACTGACCTATCAGCCGCCAAGTTGAACCATCCTATAGCGATCGCCAAACTGGATAGGCTCGGTATGAACGGCAGTCTCCTACGATGGTTCGCATCTTATCTATCTGATCGTCAGTTGGCAGTTGCAATCGACGACTGCCGATCTCCTTCGTTCCCTGCCACTTCGGGTATTCCGAAAGGTAGGCCCGTTAATATTTCTTGTGTATTTCAACGACGTCAATTTCATCCTCGACGGTCCACGACTGTCGTTCGCAGACGACATGAAAATCTATCTCCGAATCCGAGCCATCGCTGACTGCCACTTTCTCCAACTCCAACTCAACGCTTTTGCTAATTGGTGCCGCATGGTTGTAAATCCAACAAAATGTTCAGTAATCACGTTCTCACGGAAGAAGCATTCAATTACATTCAGTTATATCCTAGAAGGCGATGACGTACATCGTGTGAATCACATTAAGGATCTGGGAGTCATTTTAAATTGTCAACTCACATACAGCCAGCATATCTCGTACGTGATCGACAAGGCATCCAGAACGCTCGGCATCATTTTCAGGATAGCTAAAAGTTTCACGGACATCTACTGTTTGAAGCCGCTTTACTGCTCCCTCGTCCGGTCGGTGTTAGAATACTGCTGCCCTGTATGGAATCACAACTAAGGCCTGCACTCGAAAAAAAAAAATGCACCAGACAAAAGTGTTCGCCAAAAATTTATTTTAAGACGGAATTTCTTGAAACTTTCAGCGAATGTACTAATACATATGGATTATGTTTCGGCATAATTACTTTATTCAATTTCCTTTCCATCGCTGAAAGCCCGCACCTTTCCCTTAAGACCCCTCATTACATTTTGTGCAATGGTGGAGCCGACCTTTTTGGTCACTTTCATCCATGCTTTCTTCAACTCCAGCTCGTTCTTAAACACCTTGGACGATTTTCGAACTTTGGCCTTCATTATAGCCCAAAATTTTTCCACCAGACGAATCTCTGGAGAATTTGGGGGGTTGGCGGTTTTTGGTACAAAAACAACGTTATTGTCTCTGTACCAATCCAACGTCGATCGCGCGTAATGGCATGATGCCAGGTCCGGCTAAAATAATGTCTCGCCTCCGTGGGACCGCAGGAAGGGCAACAGATGCTTCTGGGGGCACTCGATGCGGTAAATTTCGCTGTTGATGGTACCCATTGTGATGTACGGTTTACTCAGTTTACCGCATTGGCTATGGCCTGCCAGAGCAAGTATTTTTTGGCGAATTTGTCCACTTTCTTCTTCCTTATGCCTTCCGGAACATCAAACCATGATTTGGCAACGTAGAACTCCAACCCAGGTATCTGCTTTGCGTCTGCCTTGATGTAGGTTTCGTCATCCATAACCACACACATCGGTTTCGTTAACCACTCTCGATACAGCTTCCTTGCGCGGGATTTGGCCGCCGTGCTTTGTTGATCACGTCAGCTGTCTTCGATTTTCTTCCATTTCCAGACCGCCGCTCGGTCGTCTGGGAGTCCTTAAACGATTTTACCACCCGAGACACAGTTGTATATAGGTGATTCCCAGTTGTCTTCCGATCCATCTCATGGTCGCAGTCGGATTTTCCATGACGGCACGCAAAATTCTCCGGCGATTTTCTTCTTGTTTCGATGACATCTCAATAACCACTGAACCGATTGTTATGAAATTTTGCAAATGTAAACAATTCACTCCAAACTAGTTATACCCAGATTTTCATCAATTTTTACCCACGGATAAAAAAAGTTACACACGGATAAAAATGGTGCATTTTTTTTTCGAGTATAAGCCTTACCAAAACAGTGTACAAATAGTAGAGTCTATTCAACGACGATTCATCTGGTTTGCCCTTCGACGATTGCCTTGGAGGGATCCTCATCGCCTTCCAAGCTACGAAAGTCGGTGCCAGTTAATTCACCTGGATCCTTTGTGGTGTCGAAGAGATACGACAAGAGCCCTGTTTGTGGCTGACATTCTACAGCGCAGAATCGATTGACGTTCTATTCTACAACAAATCGACGTTAACTTTCAACTACGAGCACTCCGTAACAACGCAATGCTGAGGATACCTTTTCGGCGTACAAACTATAGTTTTTATGGTGCTATCAATGGACTAAAAAGGGTTTTCAATCGTATTGCTTCCTTATTTGATTTTCACAAGTTGGACTTCACGGCCTTTGCAGTTAATCCATCATTAGGACTAAGCCCAGTCTGTTGATGTAGAACCAAATAAACAAATAAAACACCACGCTTTATACTACTGCGAATACCCAAAGAACGTCATTTTCGTTGTTTCGGCTCTTACTTCATTTGCTTCTCCTTCGAGATGAAAACATACGCCTCTGGACGTCTGTACCGAATACTTGCAGCATGCCCATGTCCGGCTTCGTACCGTTTCAAATCTCGAAGGGCGTTTCCTACACCGGTTTCATAGGCAACATGTTCTGGAAATAGTTGGTTGTACAGACCTACTCGGCCCAGTACCGGCAGTATAATCCAGATTCTATGACCATACAACGTGCCATCTCATCCAATGAACGGTTCTTGCGCTCAGCGACTCCGTTCTGCTGTGGCGTGCATGCTGTCGTGAATTGTTGCTGTATGCCTTCCTGCTTCAAAACCCGCACCAGCTTCTTTTTGGTGAGACCTGATTATTTTTGGCGGCCTACCGAATTGTGTTTTCACGAAATCTTGGATAGCATCCACCGTCTCCGATTTCTTCGACAAAAATGCAGTGATATAGATATAACCCGGGACGGGACTTGACAATCCAGCTTCTCACTCTTCTTAATGTATTTGTTGAATGCCCGTCGAAAATTAGTGCTTGGTGTTTGACGGAGTTGACCAATGATGCCAGGATTGCAAAATGATTTTCTATTTTAATTTGAATTTGATTCGGAGTTTCTACCGCAGTTTAGCACCTTGTACATCATGTTTGCTTAACACAATATAAACAACCATAAACAAACAAGAATATCCATCTCTTTAAGCACGCCCCTATTTTGCAACTTTCTTTTCGCAAATATAAACAATTAACAACGCCATTGACGTCAATATTGATTCTGGCATCACTGCCAGCCAGATTGATGTGATCCCTCTGTCTTTTTTATTCCACGATTGCTACTGTCAAATCGACCAATCAGCAACTGGCTCGGATTTGACAGAAAATTGGCTCGAAATCGCTACCCGATTGTCAAGTCCCGTCCCAGGATATAACGACTGTGCTGCCCTTGTCAGCATAGTTATCCCATTCGTGAAAACAGCAAGCTGAGAAAAATGCTGTTCAAATTGTTATTCTCTATGAATTTTTATGGACGGGACAACGTAGTTTTGGTATTTTTAGCGAAATTTTCTGACCAAAGTAGAAAACTTTTCCTGTTCATTGTAAAGTGTTAGCACGTTATAGGGTTATAGTACTACTTGACAATCGATTCCAATGTATAACTCATTTTCGCCAAAAATGCTAATGGTGTAGTCATTGATTAAAGTAAAGAAATAACAATGACCACCGGGTGTGACCGTATGCATCGCTCCACACAAATAGCTGTGTACCAGATCCAAAATATTCTTCGATTTTCAATGCGCCTTCTTGGGAAATGGCAGCCGGCTCATCTTCCTTTGCAACCAGGGTTCACAAGTTGTATGTATAGAGTAGTTATTTACCTAATACCAATTGCCAGTTCCTTCCGTTGGACATCCAAACTAGCTTGAGTATCACGATGCCCCAGCTTCCTGTGCCACTCATGGATGCAACCTTTCTGATCTGACACTGATCCGATGCCGCATTCACCCTTTTCCACCATTGGGAGATGATAAGAGGCGCTTGCTCCTCAGCGCAGCATTCGTCTAGCTTTGTTGCAACATTGGTCAGCTTTTCGAACAAATCCTCAAACTCCATTAGCTGCTCTTCGATGTTGTCACCATCGTGGTAATTCATGTCGCAGATCCGTTTGAGCAAATGCACTTTGGTTGTGAGCGTCTTATTCTGGCGTTGCCGCGCCAAATTGTCCCACACTGCCTTCGTGGAATTCGTATTCCGGATGTGCCCATGTTGATTTCTTTTTCCGGTTTCACTTCCGACGAGACGTGCTTCCAAAGTCCCTCTCTCACTAACAGAAACTCGACTTCCAACCTCCACGAATCATAATTATCGTTCGTAAACTTCACGATTCGCGTTCTCTCCATTTTAACAATTTTCAATAGTTTACCAATGTTAAACTACTATAATATTTATAGCTAACGAATCTTTCAACAAATCTGAATCAAATGGTGTGATCATAATTGAAATCCCAAGTTATAAGCGTTTAAAATCTGACACCACAGACAAACAGACATAATCATTGAATATTTCTCATTGTAAAACATTGTCGCTAAAACATTACCGCCATTTGTTGAGTACACTGTGGTGGGTAGTACGCTGAACAGATGGCGGTAGTGAGTAAATGTCAAACGCATTGGAATTTACTATGCGCGCCACAGGTGGCAGCACTACTAACTGAGATAGTTTCAAATTGACCGTTAAATGCTTGTTGTGTGTTATGTCTGTTTGTTTGTGCTGACACTATTTCGTCACAATTTTTTGATTTGAACCCCAGTATATTCCACAAAGACGTAGTCTGAAACTGAAATAAATTGACTAGTTTACTTCAAAACAAGTCTCATAGCGAATTAAACGTAGGTTTAACATCGGTAGGTAACTTTGCAACAACATTGTAACGGAAAACCTACACATGTTGTACAAAGTAAGGGAGATTGGGGTAAAGAAGATCCCCGTTTAATTTTTTTTTAACCCTCATCAAAAAATACCATAGAAGAAGAAATACTGCGTGGCCATTTGTGCATACTGATTTCATGCCAAAGAAGCATACATTTAGGCTTAATATATGTTCTTTCTCTATTGGACTTCAACGGTTCACGCCTGATGGTTATGCTTTCCACACTACAATTCGGAGGGCGCATTATACCCAACATAGATTAACAACAAACATTGTAAAACACAATAACTACCGTTTTTCAAATTAACATGTCATTAATGCTATCAAGCAAAAAGATGAAGAATGTACCTAACATATTGCATCAGATATTCGAAATCATACAAACTAACAGCTAGGATAGAAAGGGGGGGGGGGGGTGCATTTTGCCCACCATGGGCATTTTACCCCCATTTTCCCTACAACAGCACGACTGCTTGAAGTAACATCAAGGAGATGTTTAGTTACCTACTTCTGAAAAATACGACCCGACGATACATTTACCAAACGATGTTCATTAAAGTTGGGTTGAGCTCCGATGTGGTCACAATATTTATGAAGGTTAAGATTTCTTAAGTTAACGTTTGATATTCTCTCCAATTATGGGTTCATTTCGTGTCCTTACCCGGAATATTTTGGATCACCGCAAAACCAAAAACCCAGATCATTCATACTTACATAAACCACACTGTTCAGCAGTTTATCGTGGATGCACTTGGCCGCTTTGATTCCGGCGTACGCAAACAGGAACGCCCGGACCAACGTTATGAGCGAATTGCTAACGGCCAGACCGGTGAAGACTCCGAGGTAGTACATTGTAAGCGTCTTGTTCTCTGTATCCACTAGCAGTGCCTCCTGTTGCAGTTCGTCAGCCAGTTCCGTATCGTGATCTACTCCTCTAATCCAAGATGACGCAAAATCCTGTACCATGCTCAGTACGCTCTGAATGGTACTCAGGCTCCACAAATGAGCAATGCCTTCTTGTGGCACTTCTGATTCCAATACAGTTGCATTATTCGTACCATTGCTAGGCGGAGCTGGTGCCGGCGAGGAAGCTCCCACCCAATAAGCCAACCAAGCATCTGAAAGGTTCCTCGAAAGTTGCATCAACAGCACCGAAACGATAACCCAAAATCCAAGCGACCGCCCCATCGCCTGCCAATAAGCTCCGAGTACTTTCCTATCCAAATGACCAAACTCTCTGCTTTCTTCGGCCATCACACTGTCCAAACTTAAATTATCATCATCCTTCGGCGGTGTGTTTGGTTCATATTCCACGTTGAAACTCGACGGAAGGTCTTCTCCTTCGTCCTCAAAGTCACTTATCATCGAACCAGTCGCCGTGATGTCACTCTGACTCACAGCACCATTTTCAACGTGAAGAATCTGATTAGCTCGAGTCAGCACCAGCGGATGCTGACTTACAATGATTCGGGTTTTATCCTTTAGCAGTCCGAAGATGCAGTGGCGCACGATATGCGACGCTACGTGAGCATCGAGTGCCGAAAGGATGTCGTCCAACAAGTAGATCCCCTTGTTCTGATAGATGGCTCGGGCCAGAGCGATACGTGCTCTCTGCCCACCGGATAGCGTTCGACCTTGCTCGCCAACTCCAGTGCTGTCCCCTTTCAGAAGGTTCAAGTCATAGTTCAAAGCACAAGCATGAATCACCGCCTTGTATCTGGTATCGTCGTACATTTCTCCCCACAGGATATTCTCCCGGATCGTTCCCCTCTGCAGCCACGGGGTCTGAGCTACATACCCGAAACCTTCGTCCACGTTCGAAATCGCCACCACCCCTTGGGTGCATTTGAAATTTGCCAGGATCACCTCCAGCAGGGACGTTTTTCCTCCTCCGACAGGGCCTTCCAGGCATATAAGGTCTCCTTGCCGTATCTGAAGGTTTAAATTGAGAATTCGAAAATCGACAATGTCCTCCTGAACGAGACCCAGCTCCTTGCGGCTGCGTTGGATTTCAAACTGAAAGTGACCGTCTTTGATGGCGATCACGACCGGTCGACGGGAAGCCCCAGAGAAGGCCGTTTCCGTTTGGTGCAGCGGCTTGTAGTACTCGGTTAGGTTAATGTTCGGTAGCTGAAATGTAAAAAAAATCACTTTAATAGTGGGATATTCCCCCCCAATTTAACTCATACTTACATCAATCAGCTCCTGCACCCTCTTGAGTGAAACCCACGCCTCAGCCAGTCCATTCAAAACCCAGGGAAAGGCATTCAGCGGTCCAATCAGCATATTCAACAGCGCCACACTGGTATAGGTGGTGGCCGCAGTCAGCGTACCTCCCAGCAGCACGGACGTTCCGAACGTCAGTAGACACATCAGCACCGGCGTCGTCGCCCAAAAGTACACACATAGCGCATCCAGATACTTCCTCCGGGACAAGTAACCGACCTCCTCCCGACGAATCCGTTCGATCTTGCTGATGAATACATCCTCCCATGAGTTCATTTTGATGTGTTTCGCTCCACCGATGGTTTCTGTCGTGATGGCAATGCGGCCGTCCTTGGCCGTCATCAGACCTTGCGACAGTTGACCGATCTTGATCGCTATCGTGCGATTGATCGGGATCAGAATGATGGCAAAAATCACCCCGGCGAGAAACGCTAGTCCAATTTGAGTATAAAGCAGGTAGAGGGTCGTGAAGAGTTGAAACGGGATACTCCAGAACGAGTGGAAGCTAATGCAGGAATTAACAATCCTATCGGTATCAGTCGACATAAGATTCAGTATTTCCGGACGGGCATTCTGGAGGCCTTTAGCAATGAGCGACTTTCGGTAGATCGCCGTTACTAGACTCATGCGCATTTTGGTGCTTACCAAAGTCATTCGCCAGTTGAAGTGCACACCGGCAAAACAACTGATGAGAGTCGACAGTAGAAGCCCTAAAGCGTAGTAATATGGACGAAAGTCTATTGTGTAGCAAGTATCACAATTGTCGTTGTCTGGAATAGTTCCATTACCGATGAAATTTTCACTGCGAAGCAATCCACCGAGGAGGATGGGTCCGGCGAAACCGGAGAGATCAGCCAACAGTCGAAGAAGTCCAATCAAATAGAACTCCCAACCGAAGCTTCTATGAAGTGCCTTGAACAGAGACCCTACAGCCACTAGCTGCTTCTGGAGCTTATCCACAACCAAATTCATATTTAGGCATTCAGGCAAATCAAACAGATCTTCATTCTTCCTCAGCTTACCGACAACTCCTTTCGTAATAAGCGGTCTCACCCAATAGAAGATCAGCTTCGACAGGAAATTGGCATCATCTTCAATCGGGCCCAACACCGGTTCATCGATATCCTCCAGAAATCTCGTGTAAGTCTGCGAAAGCAGCGCCTGTCGTTCTTCATCCGCTGTCCTCTGAACCCTTATGTAGTAAGCATTTCCCGGAGCAATCAGCGTCGACCCGTAGCTAATGAAAATCACCAAGTCCGCGATGTACCACAACCAATAGTCCGACTTGATGTTCGTATGGACCCAAATGGCGGTCAAAGCCAAGAGCGATGTCCACAGGACGATAATCGCCAGTGGGCCCCGATGACTCAACGATCCCCGCTTGATCGAACTGGTCAGAAAGCCAATGTGAACCGTCCAAGCCACGAGCTGCACGCACGATAGAAGCACATCGATCGGATAGATCTTACCATGAATCCGTAGCAGGTAGAAAATCTTCAACACCGGAATCAAACCCAACCCAATCGAGGCGGCAATGCGCAACCGGATGGACCGTAGCTGAACACCGTTCCGGTACACCAACCGAAAGTGAGATCCGTAATAGTACGACGACAGCACGGCAAATAGCACCAGGATTGGAAGCTGCAAGCAAATCTCCTGAAAACACGGTGCCAAATCGTTGTAGTCTTTCACCCACGGACGCAAACCGGACGGACAGACGTCCGTCCACGAAAAGTCCCACGAGGACATTCTGAAACACAAATCGATTTTTAGCACTTGATACTTTGTTTTAGAAAGCAACGAAATGTCGTACCTTTTTCAATTGAGACAAGTCTAACTTCACAGTTTTTTTTAAATTATTTGATTCATCATTGTTTTTTTCAATGGTTTAGTCACTTCGCTACTCGTTATCAGCAGTGGGTTTTCTTCTTATCGACTACTACGTGGTTTGAAATGCAAATGTAGGTGAAGAACCGCAAACTGGTCGGCGAATTATACAAGCTTCTCGCTTTGTTTTGTTTTATTAGAGTGCTGGTAAGGTCACTGACTGGTTTTGTTGTGAAATTATCAGAATTTTAATGCCTTGACCGTGGCTGTTTTCGTTTTCTTCTGACCAAATCAAACTGAACAAAGCCGCACTCGCACACACACGCAACTGCGAATGAAAAATGAAAACAGAGGCATATTAATGATCGGACAAAGGGAAATACACTGTGCCAACTGTCAAACCGGTGTTTTCACATCAGCGAGGGGTGCCTTGATGCAGTGAATTACATTTGTACGAAATCAAATTGATTCAAATATGGACCAGTTAGGTCTGTGCCACAAACGGGAAATCAAATTGATTAAGAGCATTCACATTATCACCGCGGCAAAAAGATAATCCAGAACAACATGTGAAAAGGGCATACAAGCTTTTTGTAAACAAACCTTCTTATGCCCTTTTCTCGCCACCCATATGACACCAACGCAAACCTTTAACATCACCGGGTAGGGGACACTTTCCCCTTCCCGATGATATTGCAGATTTGCGTGGGCGACCCTCGGTTGGTGAGAAAAGGGCCTACAAAGGTTTGCTTACAAAAATCTTATATGCCCTTTTCACATGTTGTTCTGGTAATCTTTATTTGGTGAATCGATTCATATCTGAAAAAATCCACTTTATCCGATATAATCTCCAAAATTAATAGTATCGTTTTTTATCGATCCTATCTCTACACTAATAAAAATTCAAAGATTTTTTTATGTGTCCCAAACATGATTTTTTGCAATATGATAAACAAATCATATTTATGTGTCGGACACATAGTTCTTATGTGTAGACATAAAATTCATGTGTAACCACACACACTGTTCATTTGACTCATAAATTTCATATGTACTTCTGAGTGGATGGATGGAAATTCGCCAATAAAAATGTGTCGAATTCTATGAGTGTATCCAACATTACACGAGCGCTCATGGCCGCCACAATCTGTTTGAGTTCCTGGTACGGAATCGTTTATACGTCAATCGGCATAACCCAAACATCAAATCGAATGTTCCCTACCAGAAACTCAGCTGGATTGTGGCGCCCATCAGCGCTCGTAAAATGCTCGATAATATCGAGTCACATCTCTTACTATCTCATGACAGATTACGGTATTTGAAGACGCCGTTAAGGAATAATTAAAGAATCAAAGTGACGATCGACTCACAGATGGTGAGTGGGTGAAAATGGTAATGACGTTTTGCAAAACAATGGAAAACAAAAAGATGAGGACAATGATAATGTCCCAGTTTGCAGGTGTTCCAAGTCCAAGGCGGAAGTGCTTGCGAAAGCAAACGTGTCTCGGCTGATGGCTGGACTTCGGAAGTATTCGGTGAGATCCTATGAAAGCAATTCGTTTGTTGGATATCAATAAGCAGCTGCTGCTGGCTAGCTATGAGTGGTCCGACAAAGAAAGTGACAGACAGTCAAACCTTGATACACGGATAGAAATCTCCCTATACCTTTTGGCAAATTTCCATTGCTGATTATTCATAAATTGTATAAGTCAACTAATAAGCAGACGCCTTGCAAAAAGTTAATAAAGATCATGTATCAAATGAAATGTATAAGCGGTCACACATACCTTTTATGCATTCTAATAGGACATATGTGGTTTGTCTTATGGAATGTATAAGGCTGATGCTTTGGCAAAAATGTATAAGTGAAACACATGAATTAAATAATTGATTTTCGTTACGTGTACACTCTAAAAATTAAATGAGAGAACGGTTACACACTTAATTTTTTTCCTTGATTTGTTTTCCGTCTATCTTGTTTTCCGTGCTGAGCACTAGAAATACTCAGAGGGAGATATGGGCGGAGAGAATATTTTGAGCCAAATGATCTGCCAAAATCTGAGCCAATCGAAAATTCCCACTAGATTTTTTTCGATGATTTCTCGCGTCACTTTTCAAATAGACCAATGTAACAAATGTAAACAAATCGAGTTAAGCGATACAAGCTATTGCTCTTCTATAATTGTATGTGATACAAAAACACCCATTCAAATTTATTTTCATTTATTTAAGATAATCATTGATCAAAAATTGTCCAATGTACAGTTTGAAATGATGGTTACTTGATTGTTACTTCGGTCATTCGGACTGCCTAACATGATTGGTGCTCATTTTCCAAAGGCGGGGCCAATCTAAAGTTAGGTACTATACTCTGAAATCTGTGAAAGGGAATCTAGTATCATGTAGACAAAACGTCCAATGTAACACTCATTGATTATGTCATTGAGAAAAATCGTCCAATGTAACATGTCCGATGTACAACTCGACTTGTAAAAACGTCCTATGTGGTTTTTTCTATGTTGTACACAGCAAAAAAAAATGTAATATCAATCAACGTAATTCAAGCTGATGTATGAAATAATGATGTAATAGCAAAAAGCAGATACAATATTACATCAATGGATGTAATTTTGTTCGCAAAATCGATGTACATCGTACAATGTGATATTACACAACCGATTGATTGACCTGGTTGCAGCAGTTTCGATGTAATATTCAACAACTTTTTTTGCTGTGTAGCATGAAATTCAAAGTAAAATTGTGATTTTACCGTTTCTTCTGAATTTTCAACGTTATTATACACTGACTACATTAAAAATAGTATTGCAAAATGTATTGTTTTTGAACAGTTAAAATAATAATCTGTTGAACTTCAACTTCGATTTTCTTAAAATGGTGGATATGTTACATTGGTCTATTTGAAAAGTGACGCGAGATTTCTTATTCTTACTACACTGAACCAAAAATACATATTCCTGTTATGTGTAAATCTTATAAATTTGCGCTATAAGAAAATCCAATGAAAAAGCTATGCTTGAAAATGTGTCAGGTAATTTCTATATGAACATCTGATACATTTACAATGCTGATAAGTTGATAAATTTTATATGATCGTCATATGATAAATGAAAATCGGTAAAATTATAAGAATCATCTGATGTGGATTTGAAACCCATAAGAATAAGCTTTATTTTTCACTTCAATATCATATACATGTCATAAATCAATCTAATTAAAATTGATATGAAAATCACATGAAATGTAATTCTTGTTTTGACACATATATTTGATCGATTCTAAAAATAAACCGAAAAATAAACATCAAGCAGTGGGAGCTTTCACAGTTGCGTAGTTTTTTTATTGTAGCTGATTTGCGATTCGATCCAGGATTTTTGAGGTGTGATGCTATCGGTGTCTTCGCTCGGTTCCACTGGGCCACGGCTGACTTCGAGATTGAGCTCGTTCAATTAGCATGAAGTAATAACAGCTCTCCCGACATGGAATATAGTGCAACGTTATGCTCGTTTTCCTAGAGTGAAGAAAAAAGCGCTGACAAATTTATGTTCCGCTTCTGTGGTGTCCTGTCTTTAAATCTTTCATGATGCCCCTGTGTTCAATAAAACAACCTTTACATTATACCAATTCATGAAACTGGTTCATGAAATTCCAGTACTAGTGCTGGAATCTGGATAAGCCGTGAAGAAGGCTTTCAATTATAATTGTAGCAAAGTAAATATTGCAGTAGATTCAATTTTTTTAATCTCAATCCATGTTTTTCCGGAACCCCTTATCTTATGGGACAGTAACAAATAAAGATTATTCAATACGTTTTGATTAACTTTTGCGATATTTAGTTGGACTAGCAATCATGTTCAATGAGTGTACAATAGTATAATTTGAAAATTATTTCAATGATTTATGCAGAACAATCATATAAGATGTATTTTATTGGGAGCAAGATTCAGCCACAGACAAACAGACATAACACTCACAATCAAATTCTTCACAAATAAGGTTATGTGCTTGCATTTGCAATGGTGGTGCCATTGAAGTGTTTACAACCCGAATAAACAAGTATAATAAAGCTATTATAACATTTATCGTTGTATGATTATTCATGTAAATAATATGATGATACATGTTATCTTGCAGTTAATATAAACCTAAGATAAGGTGAATCATATCGATGATAAATATTATGATAAAAAAGATCTTACCATAACTTTAATAGGTCGTTAAGTATAGTTAAAATACAAAAACAAATAGTTTTTCTCGTACAAAATGTTCGTAAAAGTATTCAGGAAACAATCCTTGTATTATCTTATTTTATACTGTTGTATTATAACAGGTATCGTTCCATTCTGGTAATATCAAAAGAAATTTGTATGTACCGTGGCTATATCCGTTATAATTATTTAATAATAATATATAATATAAAAATATAACGGGTATAATTTTATGCTATTAAAATTATAAGGAATTTAAAATCACGACGATACCCGTTATAATAATCGAAAAATAATTAATAATAATTAAAACATCTTTCACACTTAGTTTTTTCTACCGAGCTCGGCTGTGTTAATAATAATATATAATATAAAAATATAACGGGTATAATTTTATGCTATTAAAATTATAAGGAATTTAAAATCACGACGATACCCGTTATAATAATCGAAAAATAATTAATAATAATTAAAACATCTTTCACACTTAGTTTTTTCTACCGAGCTCGGCTGTGCAAATCTCGGCAAAAAAAGTTTTACTGAGATCTCAGCAAACATTTCATTTGTTTGCTGAGATTCAGCTAAACATTATCCGATACTCAGTTTATCAAATGTCACTTTTGCTGAGATCTCAGTGAAACTTTTTTTGCCGAGATTCGCACAGCCGAGCTCGATAGAAAAATCTAAGTGTGTTCAATACAAATAAAACATCTTTCTTTTATCCAAATCACCTTTACTGATTGATTGATGCATCGCAGGTGCTAGAAATCTTCATTCGCATGGAATCTTTTTTTTTCTGTATCGATTTTGCAGTGATTCGGCTGGTGCTTTCACATATTTTTTTCTGAGAAAAGTTAAGATTTATAAAAATGTCCCAGCGGTTAAGATCTGCATTATTTGAGATGTAAATCAGCTCAGATCTGTAAACAATCATAAAATAAGACCACTCCCGATGGAAATTTACAAGATATGAATAAACATATGCATTAATCTGTGATGTAAAATTTGTAATTTTGATGTAAACAAAGGGTTTGGTTGACGTTTCCTCTCATCATCGCGTAGCGCACTCT